AATCATCTCGTTAATACCTTCGAAATGAGTCCAATATTGAATAGTTTTTGACTTAATTATATTATTATATGTTATATATACTGTGAAAAAATATTTTTAATATTTACGATTTATACTTTTATAGTTATTTATTTATATATATATATATTATATATTTTGGGGTTAGGCTGTCCAAATTGCACTGTATAATATATTCTGAATTAATATGTTTTTGGGTTTTTTTGAAATATATATATATATATATATATATATATACACATGTATTAATTCAACCTTAATCTGAGTTTCTAGACAAGAAAGAGGGTAAGCAGTTGAAATTTCATTCTAAAACCCGTCTTTTTTTGTCTTTTTATGACTTATGATCTGTTAAATTTGTAGTTTTCTTTATTGATTTTGAGTGTTTATCTTAAAACTCAAGTTTTTTGGTTCTTTGCTCTTGGTGTAAATCGAACACATTTGTTGAGTCGTTTAAATATGTTGGATTTTAAATATATTGGATTTTAAACTGTTATACAATTTTTTCATCGATAGTCTATAATTGGAACCATAACTCTTATTTATTCAAATTGTATTAATATGTAAAGATCAAGTGTAACATATATCATCATTAAATTTTATCTTATAAAACCAATAAAATTTCAAAATCGTTAAAATTCATGGTTCCCACCACATTGCACAAATACACAACTAGTTAATCCTAATTCATCTTTGAAACGTGGAGCTCTATTAGATTAACTTTTAATTGGGTTTTTAAGAGAAAAGGAAAGTTCTGGTATATGCTGACAAATAATTATTTATATTCAGATAATATTTAGAATATCTTTAACAAATATATTATATAATATTATATCAAAATATATGAAAGTCTATTAAATTATTTTATTTAATTTTTCATAATCTATACTATATTATAAAGCATTTGACAATAACTTTTAAAAATTATTTTTTATTCAAAAAGTACTGTTTATTGACGTTAGAGATAGCCAAATAGGCCCGGCCCGGCTCGGGACCGCCGGAGGACCGGGACCGGGACCGACAAAGGACCGGCCCGAGACTGGGACCGGTAAGGACCGGTTATGGGACCGAAAACCGGGACCGATTGAGGTTTTTTGTAGTTTCGTGGGACCGGGACCGACCGGGATCGGTTATGGGACCGACTATGGACCGGCCCGGCCCGGCCCGAAAATTCAAATAATTTTATAAATAAATGTATTTTTAAATAATTTTATAATGTATTTTTATAAGAAAACTTTATTTTAATTATATTAAAATGCATTTTTAAAGTGTATTTGAATGACCCAGTTGTAAATTTTATAATGTATTAAAAATATATATTATTAAAAAAAATCAAAAAAAATCTTACTTTATTAATGCAAGGATAGGTTGGGACCGGGACCGGTGGCCCATAACCGGTTATAAAGTACCTTGACCGGTCCTATCATTTTCGATCGGGACCGGTTATGGCCGGTTATGAGAAAGGTGAGGACCGATTGGGACCGGCCCGGGACCGGTTTTTGGCCATCTCTAATTGACGCGTATTATTTAATATTCAAGATTACAAGTAAATTGTGCATAAGTACAACTTATTAAAG